ACTTAGCTAGCTGGGTAGCTTTGGACAAGTTCCTAACCTCCAAGTCTCAATTTCCTCTCCAAAAAAGTGGGATAGTATTCATTTCATAGGGTTATTGTGACCACAAATGAAACAGTACATGTAAAGTGACCAACATAGTTCCTGGTACCAAGGAAACACTGTCAAAATGTTGAATGCCTACACAGTACCATGATGAGCTCTACTAGGAATTCAAGGTGTGCCTAGCAGTATGAAGAAAAGCAAACTTTAAATTACATGTTCCTTGTTAATACATAATTCCACAAGATTAACTAGGGAAAGAATATATCTTCACTAGTTTAAATCAAAGCATCAGAATTCAAATAGGGACAAAAAGTGCATAAAAATTTGCAAGAACTTAGTTAGATCAATTAATATTTAGCACCTACTACATGCAGGACACTACACTATACTATTTTATACCTCAATTATTGCATTAAATCTTCACAAAAGCCCTCTGAATTAGGTATTGAATGCCCATTTTATAGATATGCTGACTGAGGACCAGAAAAATAAGTAACTTATGAAAAGTCCATTAATCAYTGAAAGAAGAAAATTTTAAAAGAGAAATATATATATCTCTCAACCTAATGGTGCCACTTTGTATCTATTTCCAGTTTCAGTGACTACTGACTCCCTCTGGTGCTCCAGTCTTTATCAACTCCAATTCTCCTCTATGCCTCCTGTCATCTCTACTTGAATATTTCAAAGCCCCCTCAAAATTCTTCATGGTAAAACTTAAACTCACTCCAATCTCAAGTTCCTCCTTCATTCCCCACCCCCATGTAAGACAAAAAAGCTAAGTTCAAAACTGCTTGTTTCATATATCATAATTAAAAATTCGAAATTTGTATGCCATATTGTTCTCTCTGGAAGAGATAGGATTAGGTACTATTACTTCATACTTTACATATTTCTTTTCTGTTTTTTCTTTACAATAAACATATTAGTGTTATAATTAAAATGAACAATTAAAAATACATCAAACATTTTAAGTGTACATAAACAATGACTTAGCCTTTGCAAATGGGAATCTGTCAACATTAGACAACCATTTAAGAAAATGGATTTGAGGAATTCTTTTCTCATTACAAACCAAAATTTCTGTCCCAATTTTGTGGCTACTTAAAATTTCTAATATAATGCTTCAGAAAATTTTATTACAACACTGAAGAATAATATTAAAAAGAAAATATGTCAGATGTTAACAAAGTAGTTCAAGAATTTACACTGTATACTTAGCTGCAATTTGCCTAATTACATGTTTAAATAGGTTGCACTTAGTCTTATGTGCACTTAGGCAAAAATCCCTTATGTCTGTCTTGTTTCATAAGGTACTTTGAAATTCAACCTGTGCAAATCCAAAGTTTACTCTACACTATGAACAGAACAAACTTCTAAACCTAATTTGGTCAAATTGACCCCTTGTTGTGTAGTCTGGTGACATTTTCTCCACTAGTTCACTAAAGTACTTCCATGTGATTCAAAAATTCTTAAAGTAAAAGTTGAACCACCTGAAATTCTCAGCAAATAAATGCCCTCCTGTAGATTTCCTTAAGGCTCTTCTGTTTAAAGCCATTTTGCTTTCTGTTATCATCAATGAGTTTCATGCATATATTTTTTTTAAAAAAAGGCCACACTCCAGTTTCTACTATAGCATTTGGCAAATAATGGTAATAATATTTCTAGAACTGAAAACAATTTTATTATATATACCAATAAGACATAAATATCAAAGCAAACAAATTATTAAATTGAACTTAAAAGACTTTGGTGTACTGAGTTGCTAATATCTATCCACTTGTACCACACTGAATTCCTATGAGAAAAGGGTCTTCATTTAGTTCACTATTAGATCTCTAAGCCTCTCACAATAGCACATGCATTTAATTCATTCATGAAAGAACTTCCATTTAAAAAATTAAAGTCATATTCTTAAAGGGTTTGGAATGGGAGTCTTAAGTCCAACCTCCTACCAAGCAGATTTCCTCTGTTTTGCCCTCTTCTAGAGACAAGGAACTCATGAAACTAATAAACAGCCCATTCCAACTGCGGAACCATTCCAAACCCCTTGCTCCTCTTCCCCCTCCCACCAGGAACTGTTTAAAGTACTTCTCTCCAAAGTAGGAAATATATATAATATATATGGAAATATATATATATATATATATATGGAAATATATATATATGGAAGTATAAAAGATGATTCATAGGGATGTATGAAGAAAATCAGATATTCTACATTAAATGTCTCAATGGTTATACTACAAAGTTGTACTACAAGTTAATATATAAATAGGCATTAGTACTCTTATTCAGATCTGTACAGAGCTAACCAGCAGTTCCACCACAGAGAAGAGTTAAGAGCAGTGTCCTCAAGTGAACATTCCATTTCAGCATACTGAAACTTATTTAGGCTTACATTCTATATACTAAAAACAGATCTTTAAATGGTGGAATCTTTGTAAAGAGAGTGTGTGTGAAAATAACTTTCTGGTTTTCTGATTTTTCTTTTCATCAAGTTCTTAAAAGCTGAGTTTTGCAATAAGCAGTTCCCTTTTCCACAGTGTAAGTAAGTTCTAAATATGCCAAACATTTATATGATGATAAACAGCTACCATTAGTATATGCTACCTGCAGGTCCCAAAACTACAATATATTTAATCTGTCTTTTGAAAATAAAAAAAGTATTTTAATAGTGAAAAAGAAAATAACGCCTTTTCAAAGGATACCTGTACTATAAAGAGGGAATACTTCTTAAAACTATATTTGGAAATGTTTCCATTGTTCCATGATTTTGTTGTTGAAAACAATGACTTTTTTAAAACACTGTCTATTTAAACACAGTCTGTTTTTAGAAGACATTATCTACACAGGTTACAAAAGGTTTAAAAATATGGAAAGACTATCCCAACCAACCTAAAAGTCTTCAGAACAAAAAGTTTAGGGAGAAAAAAAATCTAATTTTTTATTCTGCAGCACTTTCCAATTAATTAGCAAGAATAACTGATCAAGATCAGGGAAGAAGGGACTGTCACTGCCAATCTCAACAAAATTCTATGCATAAATTAGTTAAGAATTAAAACATTAAAAAAAAAAAAAGAATTGAACCATTAGCCGAGCATCATGCACACACCTGTAATCCCTGGGACTCCAGAGGCTGAGGCATATCAAAAATTCAAGGCCAGCTTCAGCAACTTACTGAGACCCTGAGCAACTTAATGAAACCCTATCCCAAATAAAAACAAAAGGACTGGGGATGTAGTAAAGTGCACTGGAGTTGAATTCCTAGTATTAAAAAAAAAAAAAAAAGAACCAGTAGTGTAGCCAATGATGCATTCTTCCATTAGGATTTACGAATCTTTGTAGGTATCATTTTTTCAGTTATAAAAGTCAGTAAAAGCAAGTATCAAAAGCAACTGAATTTGTAAACAGAATTTTGAATAGTTATAGCTAAGTATCACACTAAAATAAATAAACAGCTGCAAATATTACTGGAAACTTTGACAGTAGCATTTTTAGTTGGCATAACCCTTACAAGAACACAACAATCCTCAAATTAAGCCTAGTCATAAATTATTTTGCCAATGATCCTGAAGTCATGTATAAAATTCAAATATCATCATTTGATTTCCCAGAAGGATGAAATAAAACCACAGAAATGAAAAAGCCTAGAATACTGCCTGACATAAACAGGTGCTCAATAAACATTAATTGGCTTCCTTTTTTATTTGTTCTTTTTAGATGTGCATGACAATATATTTTGACATATTATGCATACATGGAGTATAACTTCCCATTATTGTGGTTGTACATGATGTGGAGTTTCACTGGTCATGTACTCTTATAAAAACATAGGAAAGTTAAGTCCGAATCATTCTACTGTCTTTCTTTCTATTTCCCCACCCTTCCCTTCATTCCCCTTTATCTAATCCAATGAACTTCTATTCTTCCATTCCACCCCTCCCGCTTATTGTGCGTTAACATCCACAAATCAGACAGAACATTCAGCCTTTGGTTTTTTGGAACTGGCTTATTTCACTTAGCATGATAGTCTCCATTTCCATCCATTTACTGGCAAATGCCATCATTTCATTCTTCTTTATGGCTAAATAATATTCCATTGTGTATATATACCATATTTTATTTATCCATTCACCTGCAGAAGGGCATCTAGGTTGATTCCATAGCTTGGCTATTGTGAATTGAGCTGCTATAAACATGGATGTGTCTGCATTACTGTARTATGCTGATTTGAAGTCCTCTGGGTATATTTCAAGGAGTGGAATAACTGGGTCAAATGGTGGTTCCAYTACAAGTTTTCTGAGGAATCTCCAAATTGCTTTCTAGAGTGGTTGCATCAATTGCACTGCCACCATTAATGTATGAGTGTACCTTTCCTCCCCACACCCCGACATCCTCGCTAACATTTATTGTTATTTGTATTCTTGATAATAAAAAAATTATCAAGAATACAAATAACAATAGCTGGAGTGAGATGGAATCTCAGTGTAGTTTTAATTTGTGTTTCTCTAATTGCTAGAGAAGTTGAACATTTTTCATATATTTGTGACGATTCGTATTTCTTCTGTGAAGCACCTGTTCAGTTCCTTTGTTAACTGGATTCCTCATAAACTATGTGATGTAATAAAAAAAAGCATAGGCTTAGGAATTAGATTTTAATTCTCACTGTAACACCTGCTAGCTATGTGACTTGAGCAAATTATTTAACTCCTTCTATAAAATGGAAATAATACCTATCTTTTGGATATGAAGACATTAAAGAATAATACATATTAGTCACTTCTCTTACTAAAGACATGTGATAAATGTCCAGGACTGGGGATAAAGTTCAGTTGTAGGAAACTTGCCTAGCATGTGAGAGGCCCTGGGTTGATCCCAACCCACTAAAAAGAAATGCCCAACCCTCCTCCTTCAAGATTCTCCATTCCAAATGTACCAAAAATATAGAATGATGGGTTGCTGAATTCAAAAATAACTATCAGAATTTCTATCTTTTGGTAAGGATTGCATTTAGACTATAGAAGTACAATATGACGTATTGACCTCAGGTAAATTCTACCTCCACTATCACTTGGCTAATTCTGGCAACCTGGACAACCCTGGAGTAGGACTAAGTCTTTTTGCTACTCAAATTAGGGCTCTTTAAACTAATTTAAGACTCTAGCTTAAGTCACCTACTTACTGATACAATTATATGCTTATTCATACTCCTTAGCACAAATTAATAATAGAGTCCTAATAAGCTGTTACCATAATTGAAGCTTTTCTATGGCACACTCTAACCTTTTCCAACTGAAGGCCAAACAGACTTTTTAAGTAAAACACTACACGTCCGACCCACAGGTGCCCACACAACGGCCGACAAGTGTAAATCAGACTATAAAAACGTCTGAATCGCAACTTCAGCGCCTTCGCAACGCCTGCTTTTACATCTGCGACGTGAAGTCCACAGGCGTAACAACTGTGGCACTACCAGGGTCACTCGGCCACTCACCACCTGGCTACACACGCTGGCCTTGAAAACACGTAATCAAGMGACGCAGGCAAAGCGGCACAGGAAGCTTCCACCCGACTTTCTTCCAAATGGCAAAGGCTTCGGAGAAAACCAGGCAAGTGCGGCGTGCACGCAGCCACCCCCAAATAACCAASCCGGGTCCCGACATCCCAACCGTCCCTTCATCTTTCATCATTCCGGAATGTCACCCAACGACGGGTCGGTCGGCCACGGGCCCTCCCACCCCACAGCCAGGGCTGGCCACCTGGCTCCCGGGCCCCGGCCTGCCCCAGGGCCCCCACGGCCCAGATTCGCGGGTCCCACGGTGTAGACGCCTTGACAGCTGTTAAATTTCTGGAACATGTGACTCTGGGGACCGACCTCGCTGCCAACAGACTAAACACCACACTTGACACAATTCCCCGAGCCCCGCCACACCTGGSTCCAAACAGCCCCAAGCAGGGAGCGACGTGCCAACCCCGAGGACGCTCGTCCAGTCGCCCGAGGACGGGGAGCGAGTCCCGCCCGGCGGGCCGCGCTTACCCATTTGTCCAGGGGGACCTGGGCGAGGGAGCCGGTGCCCTGGTAGAGGTCCAGGCTGAGCTGCTCCAAGCTCAGCTTCTCCTGCAGGAAGTGGCCCAGGTACCTCTGCAGGAGGTACCGACAGGCCCTCTTCTTGATGGACTCCGAAAACGGCCACGGCATGGTGAGGGCTGGCAGCTGGCCGCGGGGGCTGCGGGCGGCGGCTSCGGCCTCGCGCCCAGGCTCCGGCTCCGAGGCCGGCGGCACCTCGGATCGCGGCCGGCGGGCCCAGGCCGCGGCGGGTCTAAGCCCTGGACGGCTCCTGCATGCCCGCTCGGCGCCACCGTCCCTCAGGGCGACCCCATCACCCGCGCCGCACCGCTCGCGCTAGGCCCGGCGGGGACCAGGCGCTGAGGAGTGCCGGTCGCCCCARGCCCGGCGGCTTTCCGGGTCACCGTCGGCCCACAGAGCGGGTGCAAGACAGCGCGAGGCAGGAGGCAAGGGCTGAGGTAGACACCTCCACCGCCGCCGCACGACGAATTTGTTGTCATCTACAAGGCGCGCTCCCGGCACGGGGCGCTCCCAGCGCGTTCGCGAGACGCAGCCTCCTCGCGCGCGGCCTGGCGCAAGCGGAAGTGACGCCACACTGGGGGCCGGGTAGGCGGGAAGGAGAGCCTGGGCCGAGCACTTCCGGCGGTTTCGGGGGCGGGGCCAGGGCGGTGCGGGGGCGGGGGCGGGGCTGGCGCCGCGGGTCGGCTCCAGACGCCCTCGCCGGGAGGAAGAGAAGGACGGGGCGAGCACAGGTGAGCAGTTGCGCTGCCGGGCTGCGGTCTGCGGGCGGGTTGCCGCCGGCAGGGCTGGGGGCAGGACGGGGCCCTGCGTACCCCCTCKAGGCCCTCGGCCGGGTGGTGAGGGGCGACGGACAGCGGGCCCGGTGTCCGCGCTGAGTGGGGTCTGGGGGCGGGTCCGGCCTGGGCTGGCCGGGTCGCTCAGATCCTGGGCTCYCGGGAACCGCTGCTCGGGGCGCCGCCCCTTCCACTGCAAGAACGGGTGACCGTCGGCATCCCGTCGGCATCCCGCCCGCCGCAGGAATCCCGACYGGTGTCATTGTCAGCAAGTTATGGGTCCCGTGCCTCCTGCGGGCATTGTTTCCAAAGCTTCCTCTGGGTTACTCTTGGTCTAGTGGCTTGCAGTTTGCAAAGCGCCTGTCGTACACTCTTAGTCCACCCTGGGGGTGCTACACCGACGACCAGGAAACTTGGGCTCTCGAGGCATCTGTGGCAAAACTGCTTTCTCGGATAAATTCCAAAGGCTCCCGACCCCTCGGGGACCTGGGTGAAGAATTCGTGCCGTCCAGAGCATCTGCGCAATCGTGCTTCTGCCCTCTGGGAGGCTACTCCTGCAGAGGCGGAGCCGGTTCAAGTTAGTCAACCCGGTGCCGGTGGCCCGGAAGTCAGCTATCCTGGATTAGAATTCTGACACTGACACTCAGTGGCCGAACCACCTTGCACCGGCCACTGCCCTCTCTGAGCCTACCTTGACTCTTTGCCAAGTGCGAGAGTATTAATATCTTACCTCCAAGGATTGCTAGGAAGAGTAAATGATGTTAGTTGGGCACGAAGCAAAACAGAGTCCTGAAACATAAAGCTGATTAATTAAGGATAGTGAATTAAGATGACCAGTTTAAGGAGTTAAATATTTACTGTCTTCGTAATTATTTCATGAATATTGACATAGACCGGAAATGTTGATGGATACAAAAAAAAAAATCTGGTTGTCCTTTACATTTTAGAACCAGCGTGCTCTCAAGTATATGTAGTGGCTTTGATAGTTGATGCCCCTCATTCTGTGTAGACATATCTCAAATATTCCCAATAACTTCAATTCCCAAGCTATTCCTTCATTTAAAAATATTTGTTAAAGGCTTGAGTTGTGGCTCAGTGGTGGAGCATTTGCCTAGCATATGTGAGGCACTGGGTTTAATCCTTAGCACCATGTTAAGAAATAAACAAAGTTATTTTGAAAATATATCTGTTAAGGGTCATTTAAATGAAATGACCTGGGCCCCCAAAAGTGTAAAGAAGAATCAGGCGTGCAGCTCAGTGGCAGAGCTGTGGTAAGCATGCGGGTGGCCCTGGGTTCATTCTCCTACACCAAAAAGAGAGTGAGTGACTGAATCAGACAGAACCTTCAAGGAGCTTATGTTCTGAAGTAGAAGGGGCATTCATGTATTTAGTGTTTATTAATTGCCTGCAGTATGTCAGGGACTGTTCTAAGCTCTGGGGCTACAACAGTAAACAGATTGTTCCTACTTTCATGGAGCTTACATTTTACTGAAGGAAGGGGAAATGAACAAATCAATTGAATAATGTGTCATGTGTTAAATGCTATAGGGAAAAAAAAGAAATGTAAAGGGATTTGATCTAGAAATGAGGGGAGGAATATGCCTTTACAAAAACTAAAAAATGCTATGAGAAGGCCTCTCAAACTATTRCTTTTTAGCAGACTTGGAGAAAGCTAGGAAGCAAGGCACATGGAGTTGGGAACAAGTCATACAGGGCCTTGCAGACAATTATTAGGATTTTTGCTCTGGGTAAAGCAGGTCTAACAARAAAAGTGACATAATCTAGACTGTTTTTATAAGGTTGTGCTAACTACTGTGTTGAAAATAGCCTGGTATGGGGGTTGAAGGGTCTGGCATGAACACAGCAAGACCAGTTAGAAGGATGCTGCAGTAATCCATACTGCAATCCAAACAGGACATTGGGACAGGAAAATAGTTAGAAGCAGCTGGATGTTCATTTCTCTTTCTCTCTCTCTCTCTCTCTCTCTCTCTCTCTCTCTCTCTCTCTCTCTCTCTCTCACTGTGTGTGTAGATATTAAGACATGTTTGTAATAATTATAACCCTTGCCATAAAAGGGGTATTAACAAAGTGGTGTGAACAGTCCAAGGTGGGGATCTCATCTGGCAGTGAAATAGGCCTTGGAAGGTTTGGACTGGAATTTTGACAAATGGATGAAACTTTTTTCAGTAACTGTTAATAAGTGGTTTCTTTTGCAATGTGGAATTACATTCAAGCTATTCATAGAATGCCTATAATATCAACTATCAGACAGGAAAGGAAAGGAAAATTAAAACCAAAGATTTTTCAATAAACACTCAAAGTGTTAAGTGGGTTGCCTTATACATTTTATGGTTTCTAGGAGAAATTCAGCATAAATGTTAAATGTCCTTGTCATATGGTTAGCTGCAATAGAATATAAACTCTTCCCATGTCACAATGCTATTTTGTGTTTTATCAAAGAAGTACTACCACAAAATGTTAATACTTAGGAATAATTGAGGAAGATGAAAATATTTACCCAACTAAATATTGTGAGCTTTTTAGGAATTACATAAAGGGGTTTGAAGAGACAGGTTGGAAACCACATATATCACAGACTAAATAGGTCATCTCAAAATAATCATTCTTCAAAGAAATCCATGATAACAGGTGAAATAAAAGAAGCTAGTAAGATGTTATGGACCTTTTTAATACTCGCACCTGAGGAACAGGAATGTGATGTCAAGACACCATTTCCCAGGTCTCTTTGAAGAAGTTCTACAAAACAGCAGTAGCAGCTGTGGCCCTATAATGTAAAGATTCAAACGCCTGGAGTTTCAAAGCCAGCACTTTATTCTCTAAAATTGGTTTAATATAATTAACAGATAATATTTCTTGAACTTAGCAAGTACACAGCACATTCTATTTTTTTATTATTATTGTTATTTTTAGTTTTAGATAGACACAATATCTTTATTTTTATGTGGTGCTGAGGATCAAACCCAGTGCCTCACGCATGCCAGGCTAACATGCTACCACTTGAGCCCCGGCCCCAGCCCCCACAGCACCATTCTAAGCTTTTTTTTTTTTTGGTGGTGCTGGGGATTGAACCCAGGATCTTGTGCATACAAAGCAAGCACTCCACCAATTGCACTATATCTCCAGCCCCTCTAARCCTCTAAGCACTTTCTATATATTTTCTCTCTTAATTCTATCAATATCACTTTAAGATAGATATTACTATTAGCTTCATATTAGAGAGGAGGAATGTATAACTGAGAGACTAAGACATCTTGCCCTGAGTCACAGATTAACTGCTAGAGCTGAGAGTCACCCCATCAGCCAGCTTGAGAGCATCAACCACATCATGCTGATCACTTCTAGTTAGCATTAGGAGGATTTTCCAGATTGTAGTATTCCAAGAAAAAGTGATGGCATTTAAGATGCCACATCCCACTCCTCAGCTGACTGTTATAATGTCAGCTGAAAAGTCAAACTTTGTTTCAAAGTGAGTATTTGTAACCTTTGTACTGCTCTTGAAATCTTTTGCCAGGCATTAGGTAACTGTCACTCTGCCCACTCTCTTCTCATTAAGGACAAAGCTCACCTCTGCRATTTTTTTCCAGGTCTTTGATGCTTTGAATTTGTAGTGAAACAAAATTAAGTCAAGTAAATTAAGTGGAGAATAAGGGATTTAGTAGTAATCGGTATCTTGCTAACCAATTTTGTGAATCCTCCAAAGACATAAAAACACTTATTTAGCACAGCCCAAAAATTATACCAACAGATGGAGAAAGAGCTGAACCCTAAATAATTTATGCGTGATGTTTTAAAGAATCATTTTTGGAAACTTTATAAAAACTAGGTGATGCAATCTACCAGAATGATTGAGAGCAATTATAATGAATTCCAATTTTTAAAGATTTTATTGGCAACAGAATACTGCCCAGACTCTGGTAGAGAACCAGTGTAGGGTTTAAATGGGAAGCAGTGAGGTTTTCTATTTTATCTCTTTATTGATTTGTTTTATATTGGTTAGAAAGTGCTTTATTTAAATATAGTGCCAAGTCATCCTTATTTCCTAGAGGATTATATAGTAATAAGAAACTAATTAATTTCTACATTTTTTTAAGCATTCAGTGTTTGAGTCTTTTTTAGGTCCAAGTTTACAATTTCTGGTTTTGAAGAAAAGTTTACAGAGGCACAGTGTTACTGTTTATTTATAGTTTTAAAAACCTCAAATCAGCACAAGGTGTTTCTCCACCCCGGAGCTCCTTCCACAATCAGTAAAGGCACACCACCATTCTCTTGGCTTACTTTGCACCCCGTAATGTGTCTCTCTCRTTGCTGAAAGGTGAGTGCATAGTCATTTTACAGATCAGTGCATAAATGGAAAATAGCCATTTTTTTACAAATGATTTGTAAATGATTGATTTAAAATTTTTAATTTGAAAAGTATATGTGAGTTATTGAAAACAGATATGTTATGATTCAGAAAATAAAAGCTAAATTAGGTGACTTTTCCTAAATTCTAAATGATACCAATTATAATCAACTTTATTCCTCTTTACTTTCAGACTAATGTTTGAAATATTATAAGCTCAAACTTCATTTGAAATAGATGCTTCAAATTACTTCATCTTAATAATACTCTAGTTTTTCTAATACCTGTAYCTTAATACCTTAATAATAGTCTAGTTTTTCCATACCTGTACTTTCCAATATATCACAAACCTTAGTTCTTTTTTCTTACTGCAAATATAATACATTTTCATTTTACCATAGAAAA